CCGACTCACGTTGGAACTCCCGACACTTAAGGCTTTGGAAAACTAACCGATGGCCTCTGGTCGTGCATACCGTCCGGTATGAATACCGGACACGTCCAGTATGACCAGGACAGTGAACCCTCTAAGTCAGTTAAAGTGCGAGACGTCGGAACTCCCGACCTTTGCCGGAACTCCCGACCTTTGCCGGAACTCCCGACGAACGAACCCGAGAACAACAATTTTACAACTACTGGGTGAATACCGGACACGTCCGGTATTGCCAAACCAGCAAAAACAAAGTAAGCTCTTTTGTCGCTCAAATACTCAAAACTCACATGGGTTGGCTTGAGCACTTATGTAGTATTATCTATCAACATGATGCATCCCTCTTAATAGTACGATATTCCTATTAACTCAAATTCAAATGTATAACGAATTTAAACCTTTTGAGTTGTTCTCTTTCAACCGAAGTCGTGTATTCCAAACTTCATCAAGTGAGGGTGCTAACATGTCAACTTTGATCTTTTTCACTTGAGCATAGCCATCTTGAGCGCGTGACTTGATTCCATTCATCAAATTTGAATAATCCCAAATGTATCAAGTCACTTCCATCAAACACTCCAACAGTGATTTGATCCTTCACATAAACATGGTCATCATAGCTTGATTAGTACCTCAACTAAATGCAAGTACTTCCTTCTTCACCCTAGCTAGGTTCTTCGGCCGCCAAGCCGTCGCTTGCCCTTCACCCTTGCTTAGTACCTCGAAGCCTTTCCTTGATATCTTCACCATCTCAAGCCATCAAGTCACATCTTGTGTTGAATCATTCATTCATGTATTGTTATCTTTTTCATTTCAATTTTAGCAAGCTTCAAATATGAGACCATTCTATATGCAAATCCTTATGTCTCATTAATTAATTCTCACAAGCTTGCTTTTACATAGTACATGGAAATCCCACAATAAACAAGCCTTTGCATGAATTCTATTTTATATTGTTGTCTTGTGCTTGAACTAGATTGTTTATACAACAACACATCATTTTAACTTTCATTAAGTACCTATGAGATAACCTATTACCTGTCCACACTTAGCAAACGGGTTAGACCTTTAATCACGTTGTCATTCAATCATCCAAAACACACTAAAGGGCTAGATGCACTTTCAACTAGCTATGTCTAGAGCAATCGGTGCTGGATCGGGGAAGGTCGGTGCCTGCCCCTACAGCTGCCCACTACTGAACAAGTCACGTGTATATGTAGGAGCATCAAGTCTGTGCTGTGGCATTTTCAGTTCATTCCTTGTGTGCCATGAGTTTCAGAGTTTGATTGGGTTGTGATTGGGGCATTAGTCCATAGGTGTATATGTAGTAGCATCAAGTCTGTACCATGGCATTTTCAGTTCATTCCATGTGTGCCATGAGTTTCAGAGTTTGATTGGGATGACTGGGGCATTAGTCCATAGGTTCAGTGGACTTTGTGTATCGTAAACTGATGCCATTAAATTAATTTTGAGGTCTTCTTTATCATGGGTTGAACTGTTAACACCTAGCTACACTATGGATCAATTTAAATGCTTGTTCTGCATAAACAATTTTTTTGGATGAGTTGCCTAGATGTTTCAGATGAATCGTTCATTTTGTTAACTGTAACTTCATACCAGGCTAGTTGCCCGCCTTGACCATGTCTGATATGAATACATGTCCTTTCAGAATTGTTAGTATTTCCATTTATATAGTTATTTCATTGTTTTTTTATATACCATGACCATGATCCATGTCTTATCTGCTGCATGATCTATTGCTTTTTTTAATGCCTTGTTTATGGATGAAGGAAGGTGGAGGCTGGACTGAAGAAGTACAAGACAGACATCATAATTAGTGTCCACCCCCTCATGCAACACATTCCTCTGTGGGTTCTCAAATCGCAAGGCCTACAGAAATAGAGTAGTCTTTGTAACTGTGATCACAGACCTCAACACTTGCCACCCTACATGGTATATTCAGTTAATGATAAAAAAAAACATATAGTAAAGCAATTTGTTCACTTGATCAGACAATAAGAAGGAAAAAACATAGGTTCCATGCTGATGTGAACAGATGTTACTGTCCCCCAGAAGAAGTTGCCAAGCGGGCAGCACTGGATGATCTACAACCTTCTCAAATCTGTGTGTTTGGTCTTCCGATTCGACCATCATTCTGCCATGCGATTTTTGTTAAGGTATTTATTTCACCCTAAGTTTTTATATTTCTATTCCTGCTAATTTTAGTTTGAAACAATCGTGGTCTTTCAAAAGACTGAGATATTCATTTTATAAGGTTTTGTCCTGTTCTGTTTAATGAATATGTTGTATATCCCAAAAGTGTTACTGTTCAAGTTTCAAGAAAACAGATAAATATATGTCAAGAAGACTACCAGAGCCCTAGGAAAATCATTGTTTCATAATGAGCTTGGAAAACCAATTGGGCTGCTTCTAAAGGATTCAAACCAATTGGTCCGTAGAGCAGCATATTCTAAAAATAATTGTATTTTGATTGAATGCATTATATATGAATTAGACAGAACAAGTATCCTTTCTTATTTTTTCCAGTTTCTTATTTTTGATGTCCATCAATATGTTTAACACACAATAATGCTTTGTAACACGGATGTGCATTGCACTCATTATTGTGTCTAGATGCTATTTTCTTTTTTTGGACATGTTTTATTTCTCCGGGTTGTCTAACTGGATTTTTTTTCTGAGTGACAAATGACCAATCTCTGCTAGATAGTGATATGTGTTTTCTGTTGTAGCATACAACAGTAGATGTTCTTGGTGCAACACATTTTTGTCGGTTCATGTCAATTCAAGTTATTTTTCTCCTTTTCTCATCAAAGTTTATTACTGATGATATCCGATCGTTCTTTTTGCTTGCAGGATAGTTGATGATATATTGTTTTTATTGACGAGGAGATCTTGCATTTGTTGGAAGAGATGTTTTGATTTTCTTTTTCTTTTCTTTACCTTGGTTCGGTGAAGAATGGGTATTTTTGTCTTTTACCTTTGGTTTCAATGCAATCTCCTATTAATTACTCCTGTCTTTAATTGATGTGCAAGTAGCAGGTTGCAGCTTCGGTTCTTCGGAAGGTATTTCAGTTTAAATAACAGTAACTTCTGAGTTCCAATGGATCACATTTGTACTGGAAAAATATTTTGATAGATAGAACACCAAGATATGAGATTTATTTCGGTTATAGATATCACAATGTCAATGTCATTTGTTTGTGAATTTGTGTTTGTTTCATCACTTGATTTATTCTTTTTTTTATAATTTATTTAGTTTTATGATTTGTTTTGTAGATGCACTGTAGCATGAGTACGGGCATTATACTAGTATTCATTGTATCACAAGTCTTCTACCCTAATACATGATAAAATCAGTAACACTACCTATTCTTTAAACTATGTTGTTGGGATGTATTTGTCTTGAGTTCAAGTTTCAATGATTTTTTTTGAATTTTCAGACTTATTTTCAAGCCATATCCTCTTGTGTTCGTCTTACATTTTTTCAAGGAAAAATACTGAATATATCAATACTTCGCTACAGTGTATTGGAACTCATCAAAGATAAGGTCACTAATATAATATTGAACTAAATTCAAACATCATATTCTGAACTTAACTTATAGTGTTGTAATATTACATATGAGGCACATGCATACTATGAATTATTCAAAATGTTTAATACCAAATATTGATCAACAACAAAAGCAAAGGCATAGAACCATGTTACTATGAATCGGCATTTCATTAGTGCAAATTAATTATATTACCAATTTTGAAAACTAGGTGAATTGGCTAGAAATTAATACAAATAAAAAATTCTTGTTTAGGTACACGTTGAATTCAATCTAATGAGTTGAATTAGTAAGCGCATATAGATGTTATAGAAATAAAAAAAATAAAGTTCAGTTAAACCATTCTAATACAAGGTGGTACTCCAGAAAAAGGCTGCCAAGTTTGGTTGGAATACTGTTGGGCTCAGTCTATTGACGTGCTTGCACAGCAAGAGTGTAGGCTTGCCTTAAAAAGAGAGAGAGAGAGAGAGTGTAGGCTCAACTTGACCATGACGTCAAGCTGTGCAGCTGTTGCCATTTTGGAGAAAAGCAGCGTGGCCAAGGAGTCCTCGCCACGCGAACATGGAAGGCAGGGATGATAGGACAATGACCCTTTTCACATGTTTGTTTCTTTTTTTTTTTTTTAAAAGGGCATGTTTGTTTCAATGAAAATCCAAGTGCATTTGACGAGGTAAGAGACATAGGGGGTCATTGGTTGCCCCAACCAGAGCGTTCGAAGAGGCATTCTGCATCCCTCCGTGTACTTACGCCGTGTTTGGTTGTTCTGTTCGCACCTTTTGCCTGCATCTTTTCATTTGTTGGCCATCCTTCATCCCACACGCCTCCGTCTTCTAGATTTCTCCTCCCCTCATGGTGCAGGACGACTTGATTCACCCAGGATGCAGGGACCCATGCGTCACACAAAAAAAAACTGATGCATGTATGCAACTAAACACAATCCCGTCTCGTACCAGCAAAGACAACCAAACATGACCACTTGCACAAGCTCAACCTAGCTTCTTTGGTCCTGCATAGCCTGACCATCCTGACTCAAGGCTTTATCTACAACCAATCACGCCCATATAACACCATAGAAATGGGATACTGAAGAAAGGAATAGCATCTTGGCTTGACATGGACTGCATTTGTGCTTCATGGTGAGTCCAGCAACTGAGAACTCTATTTAAAAGCATCATGACAGGGATGAACTACTTTTCTGAAAATATTTTTTGAAGAACAATGTTCAATCATTGTGGTAGGTTTGCCTAAAGGTACAAGCAGTAAGAATCTACTCCCTCTAAAGTAATAAATCCCCATATAATTTATCCCAAGACAGACCTCAGCTCTAGAAAATTCTGTTTGAAATTTCAAAGTAGTTTACTTTAAAATTCGTAAAATAAAATGGGGCTCATAAAGAGAAAATTTTCACTGTGTAACTTCGAAATGCACAGAACCTTTCAATAACAAAATATATGAGCAATCTATTATGTAAATAACAAGTTTGTCACAACATGTCTTGAGTGCGAATGGGCCTCCAACTGATGTACGGTTTAGTTGGATGATTTGTAACGGCATCTGATTACGGTGGCCACTGATAACGTTAGATTCTGTAAACGCATCACGCCGTAAAGCGATACGGGCCAAGAGAAATCTGATACCGCTCAAATCTAGCTGTAATCTATTCGCCTCATCTTCCCCTCGACATCTTCGTCCAGTTCTTTCCCAGCGCCGGCGCCGCCCATCCCCACTGCCTCTTCGCATGACTCCACCCCTTCCCGTCCTCTCTGCCTTCTCCAATCTTGGCCTGCAGAACCGCGCCGCCCACGCCGCAACCCAAGGTGTTCTCATCTCGTCGAGGCCGTCTGCGCGGTGATCCACTCCGCTGCCCAGAAATTCCAGACGTCCATGGACGATGTCGAAGAAACACTGTCACTTGTTGCACACCGTGATGGCCTCATCGAGCTAGGCGAGCACCGCCGCCACCTGCTCCGACAGACCGGCACCAGCGAACGCCTCTGGGCGAGCGCCGTGGCCATCTGCTCCGACACCAGCGAACGCCTCGTCGACTTAGGACTTACTGCGAGATGATGAGCGACTCGCAGACCAGCCTCCCGCCATGGACGAGCACGAGGTGGATGCAACTGGCCGCGGCGTGCATCCTCAACGCCATCAACAATGCTGCATCTTGAGTTCCCACTCGAAACAGGCACGCAGCGGCGCCGAGCATGAAGATCTCCGTCTCGTTGTGTATCCAATTCCTTTAGTGACACGAACCAAACAAATACAGTATTCGCTTAATTTGTTTTCGTTTGCGGCGTCTTCCATTACTGTTGGCGTTTACGTTTGCTCGATGCAACCAAACAGCTCCTGAGTTGCTAAGGTGGCTCTAGTGGTACTCCTCAGATTGGTTCCGTTTTTTTTTTTTTGCCTGTCAATGATTCACGGAGTAAATGGGTTAAGTTGCTTGGTGTTTGGATGCACCCAGCAGTAATCAATTGCAGCGTGAACGGTAGAAATCCATTACCCCTCCGCTCCCAGCGGGATGAGTCGCAAAAAATCAACACCGCCGCCGCCGTCCTCGGCTCCTCGTGCCTACGTGCTCTGATCTGTTCCAACCTCCTTCGCGTCCCTGCCAGGCTGCCACACCCGCGGCGACTCCGGCAGCGGCGTCGGCGACTCCCACTGCCGAGGCAACACCTCTCCCGCGGCGGTGCCGGCCATGCCCAAGACACCCGAAGCGACACCCACTGCTGAGGCACTAGAGGCTGTGGCACTGTGCCCCCTGCGCCCGTGAAGATGCTCGTCGCGGCACCGGCCGCGAACGCCAAGCCCACCCTGGCCCTCGCCAGTCAAGAAGAAGGAGCAACCCTCTTTCCCGAAGGACAGGAAGAAGAACAGGTAACACTCCCACCGCGAACCAAACATATAGCGTTTACGGTTCCTGTAACAACTAGCGCCGCCGACGGATTGCGTTAGCGTTCCCATTCCCACTGCTGAAACCAAACAGCACCTAATTTCTTGTGGGACGAATTTCATCTAGCTATTTTTTTTTCTTCCCTACTGAAATAACTAGAAGTTGGTGAAGCCACTCCCACCGGCTCATGGGAGCCCCGTTGCTACAGTGCCAAAAAATAGAGAAGCCAAAGTCGCCACAAGCTATGCTAAAGATACTCTTTATTGGAGTAATAAGTTATGTTCTTGGACAAAGATTAAACCGGCGGCAATTCAATACAAAGCCAACGGTCAATCCACAAAAGTTTGCAATGGTTTACCAAAGAGATGTTTGTCTTTATAACACGGTCGGCTATTTGGTGAACGTCTAACCCTCATGATTACTGGTCTATGCGGCGTCGGCTATTTTGATACAAAGAACGATAGTTTTACTTGTAACCGTTGGTAATACATCTGTCTGTTGGGCATTGTACTTTCCCATTGGTATAAGTTGGGTTCTAGTAGACCGATATATTCACGTTGCTCGCCATCGCAGTCTGATGCTTTAATAACCTCAAAAATGTAAATTCCGAACATAACCGAAGCTAAATCAGGTAGCAAATTCAGGTGGCCAAAGATGTCGGCCTGTGCTTCAGCACTACTTCAACAGTATATTTCAGCGAACGAACAGTATTTACAAATTAACATAAGTCGAATTTCAGCGAAACGAATAGGACCGAAATCATAAATGAGCCAGCATCATATGGTTTATAAATATATAAAAAGTCTACATCCTCTTTCTAGTTCTTCTAAAACTTTCCACTACCCTACCACACTCTCCAACACAAGAACATGTGCACACACCTAAAGAGCAAGCCCTGACACACTGACCACTAGATGTAGTATGACTAAGGAAGTGTTTGGTTGTCCCTTCTAAATTTTAGTCGCTGTCCCATCAAATATTTAGACACATGTATGGAGTATTAAATATAGACTAATTACAAAACTAATTGCATAATTTGCGACTAATTTACGAGACGAATCTTTTAAACCTAATTAGTTTATGATTTGACAATATAGTGCTACAGTAAATATGTGCTAATGATGGATTAATTAGGCTTAAAAAATTCGTCTCGTGGAGTACTGACAGATTATATAATTTATTTTTTTATTAGTATTCAAATATCCCATGCAACATCCTCCCGACACACCTCCTAAATTTTAGTCACCGAATCCAAACACTACCTTCCTAGCTATTCCTATATACAAAAGCGAAAGAGAACAATCGAAGCGATTAACAAATGCGAAAGCGATTAACAAATGCGAAAGCGATTAGGAGAACATCTCAAAGCCAGCTCTTGTCTGTCGTCTGAATTTGAACAGGTCGGTCCGTGCACGTGGGTTCCATCAGCAGGCACGAGAAAAGGGCAACGAGCAAGCGAGCAGCGCATAAACAAGTGATTAGATTAGCCCATTTTCTCATCACCCCCGCTTCAGGCACCCAAAGATTCCCGGTCTCTTACGCATGCAACAACGGAATGCAGCGCAGAGGGCAGCAAAGTCTTCTCCTCAGCACTCTCCTGGCCTCTTTCCTGCTGCAAAGACAGATTCAGATAGTTTTTTTTAACTGTCTGGCCCGGCATCAAAAGCAGTAGTACAGTTCAGCAGGAGATAGAAAAATCTCTAGTATAAAGTATTCCATGGATTCCAGAGCTGGTTTACAGGAGTAATGACAGTTGATCAGCTATTCAGCTATGACTGCAGGATAAACCAACAAAGTGAGCGTAATGATGACCTGTCTCTCGAGCTTTTGGGTAGGGACGACAATGAACTGTTGGGGCTCGAGCTTGCTTTGCAAGAAAGCAACAAAGCAGCTGTTAATGACCGAGGTCTCGCGCCCGAGGTCGAGGTAAAGGGTGGCGATTGACCACGACCCAAGCCACAAGCCAAGCCAGGAAGGAGAAGAAGGCTTCTAAACCTTCTTGCAGACCGGTTTCCAAGGTGGAAAATGCCTGATGTTGTAGTTTAGGACAGTTCCAAAATGCTAGACCCTTGTACTTGGTTGTGGTGGAGTGGTCAAAGATTAAAGAAACTGAGAAAATCTAAAAATGTGCATGGTTGGTTAGTGGAAATATTTTTGCTAGTGACAAGTGGAAATTTCCGTGGCTGATTAGACTTCTTGTTTAGTAGTAGCCTTTGTGAGGCAATGATTCAGTTAGCGACTGTAATGGCAGACAAACTGCAAGATCAGTGTTGAATGTTGATATGGTAGTTGAGTGATCAACTAGCTACAACTAAGGGTCCAGACGAAAAACAATGTTGCTGGCGATGTGTGTAGCTGTGAATGGACGGCGATGAATAAGCTTCTCTTTTACCTGTGTTTTTCTGGCCTCTGTGGGGCTTAGCATCGTCTCCTAGAACGGCAGGCTCTTGGAGGTGGAGGAGGCAGTGAGCGCCTTGAGGCTCTCGGTCGATGCCGGAGCGAAGTCCTGCGGAAGCCGCGCGCGCCGGACGAGGCGGCGCATGTTGCTCTGCAGGCTCTGCTGAACCAGCTGCCGCACGGCGCGCTTCTCCGCGCTCATGCCGGCGTCGGCGAACTCCCCGTCCACCGACTCCTCCTCCCCGCGGCACCTGCGCTCCTGCGGCGCCGACACCGTCGCCACGACGCCTGAGGCGTCGTCCGCGACCTGCTTGCCCTTGTCGGCGCGGAGGATCTCCAGGATCCTGGACGCGCGCTTCTGCGCGAGTGCCGTGCCCACGAGCGTGAGCTCCAGGAGCGCGGACGAGGCGCCGGCCTCGACCATGGCCGCGCGGTCACCGTAGCTCCGGTGCGCCAGGACCATGAGCACGTAGGCTGCCTTCTCCTGGCACCCGGGCTCGTCGGCCCAGTTGAGCACGTCGACGAGGGACGGCACCGCGTCGGGGGCGCGGCTCACGGCGCGGCGGCCCTCGGGGCAGTCCGCCACGAGGTTGCAGAGCACGGCGAGCGCGCGGTCCGTCACGGGGGCGGCGTCCCCCACGGCCGCCACCAGCGCCGGTGCGAGCCCGGCCGCCAGCAGGTGCGGCGCGTTGGCGGGCGCGATGGAGAGGTTCAGGAGCGCGCGCAGCGCGTCGTGGCGCGCCTGCTCGGTGGAGCAGCACGCGGCGGCCTGGAATGCGCGCACGAGGAAGGGCGCGGCGCCGGACGCGCCGATGACGGGCTTGTTGGCGTCGAGTGCGCTGAGGCAGAGGAAGTTGGCGACCACGGCCTCCGTTAGCGCGCCGGACGCGCCGCCGCCCTCCGCAATGCGGAGCATCTTGTGCACGGCTCCGGCTTGCACGATCGCCGCCTTGTTCCTAACAATCATGCAAATAGCTCTGCATATCAGAAACCCCCCAGATCTGATCACGAAACAGAGGAAGACAACATAAGGCAGAAAACTCACGTGTCATTGCCGATCCCCAAGTTCAGCAGCGCGTACAGAGCAGCGGTCGTGATATCCTCCGCGGCGTCGCCTCCCTCGTCGACCATCGCGACGAGCGGCGGGATGGCGCCGAGCATCGCGACCATCTCCCTGGCGCCGGCGTCGTCCTTGGCCTTCCTCCGCACGGCCTTGGCCGCCTCGACGCGGGACATGCAATCGCCGCCGCCTTCGCCACCGTCCTGGAGCGCCCCGACCACGCCCTTCAGCTCCTCGAACGCCTCCACCTTCCTGGCCGCCGCGTCCGCCGCCGCCTCGGCCTCAGCCTCGTCGCTGCACTCGGACGGCTCCTCGGCCCTGAGCAGCTCCGCGAGCCTGTCCGACCGCGGCCTCGGCCTCGGCATCCGCTGAGGCGACCGGTACGCCGTCCGTCCACGGCAGGAGGAACCGCCTCCTCCATCGCCGCCGCCGGCACCGCCGCCGCACGTGAGAACCTCGAGCACCTTCCTCCGCAGCGCGGCGGCGGAGAAGATCGGCCAGATGCGGAACCCACCGGCGTCGGCGTGCGCGCACCTTGCCACCATCGAGCAAGCACGGCCACTGCAGCGAGCGAGCTTCGTCTGCAAGTCACATTGGCCGGAGGGAGGCGGGCGACACCTGGCTGCCCTCGGCGCTCGCAGACTGGCGTCCGGAGGAAGGCGTGGCGGCTGTGCGAGCGGGGTTTATACGCGTGGCGGCTGTGGATCAGGGACGCAGCCAGTGGGCCTGAGAGTGAGCCGGTGGGGCCAGTTGGTCAGCAGGGAGGGTACGGGCTAAATATTTTATTTTAGAAGAAAATAAAGGGTAATAAATGGTGTTGGATTTGAGCCGAGGACCTAGGATGGGTTGTTTAATGGCGTGCTTTGCTGGATGGGCTTATTTTATGGTTATATGGGCATTATGGTCACACAGATCTTGCAGGGGAAGGGAAGCCATCTTGCCATGCTGTCTGCTTAGCTGCACCAGGTCAGCGACCACATGACGTTTTGTTCTGTACTTGGGCCTGGTTTAGATCACCTCCAAATTCCAAGTTTTTTCACTCACTCTCTATCACATCAATTTTTGAACGCATGCATGGAGTATTAAATATAGGTAAAAAAATAACTAATTACACAGTTTGGTTGTAAACCACGAGATGAATCTTTTGAGCTTAGTTAGTTCATGATCGGACAAAGTTTGTCAAATATAAACGAAACGTGCTACAGTGTTTAGGTTGCAAAAATTTGCAATCTAAACAAGGCCTTGGTTAAGACCTTGGTTCTGTTCGTTTGTTTTACTATTTTAACGAATGAATATTATTTTTTTCTCACAGTAAATTAGCGGATATTATTTTTAGCTATGGCTTTTCAGCAAAACGAACGAAGCCCTTGCCTGCGACACTCCAACTGGACCTGATTTTTGACTCTTTTTTACGGTTGCATTTCGGTTGACGAACCGCTTGAACCACACAATTCGACGTGACCCCTAACAAAAAAAAGGGACGAGATGTGAGCTGTGCTCCGTAGATCGTTGATCCAACAGCCTGACTGCCTTGAGCAAGCATGCAAACAGCCTAGTGGGCTAGTGGCGCTGCTGAAGAGTGAAGACGGAATTCCGCAAGGTCGAATCCTGCTCGCCGGTTGGCCATCACCGATGCCCATTTGATGCACAAAGATTTGCATAGGGAACAGTCCCAAGTTGCAACGCAACTCACTCACGGCCTCACGGGTCTCTCAGGGGGATTCGTACGCCAATCGTCATGTACTCATGCTTTCTCTGAGTTCCCGCTTTGTGCTTTCCTCGTACCAACTGGCAACTGGGCGTCTTCCTAGTGATTAGGATTACTAGTAGAAGATAAAAGATGCGGGGCTGAGCTTAGCCGATGATCCCGGCACGGCGTGACGGGAGGCACGTGTCGTGTGTTGACGACGGACTGCTCACGGAAGAGATCCATCTCCTCACGAGGCGCGCGCATACTCCTACGTCCTTGCTGTTGCTGGCCATCCCTGCTTGCCAGTCTGACCGTAATAAGACGGCATGGCGGCACTGTAGTGACACCGTAGCCGGAGCCGCAGGAGAAAAAAATGTAGCTTCTCCCCCTCGGAATGCCTCTGTAGAGAGGAAACGAAGAGAGAGAAAATCGGCTCCGAGGAGACAAGCCCGGACGCCACCCCGGCGAAGCGCCGCCGCCGCTCCAGGCTCCACCCTGCATGTCGCCCCACGCCGCCGCCGCCCCGGGCTCCCCTGCCGTGTCTACCCACGCTATCTCCAGATCCGCCATCCACGCCGACGAGGTCGCCCCCACCTCCAGATCCACGCCGGCGACGTCGGCTCCACCCTGCACGTCGCCTCCATGCCCTCGGCCCAACCCGTGCCGGCTGGAGCTCGGACGAGCACGACGGTGCCTCCATGCCCCGTGTCGTGCCTCCATGTGACCATGTCCAAGTCCGACGGCGCCGAGCGAGAGCGGGGATGAGCACGACGGCGCGGAGCGAGGGCAGGGGACGGAGTCCGCGTGCTCGTGCATGGCCTCCGGTGTCCAAGTCCGCGTGCATGGCCTCCGGTGGCGGAGCCCGCATGCACCCCTGGCGTCTCCTGCATGGCCTCCGGTGGCAGCGCCCGCGGCCCCCCTGGCCGCTCCTGCCAACAGCACTCTGGAAGACCTCGCCATGCTTCAGGACTCTGGAGGAGCTCTAAGTTCTAGTGCTCACAAACTGTTCGACGGAATGCCTAAATGAGGTAACCTTACCTGTGAGAAATGAGGTGACTGTATTCGAGCTAACCAAGCAACCAGCTTAGGTAAGATAAGTGAACTAAGGGCCTGTTTGGTTTCTTCCCCTCCTCTAAAATTTCTGTCACATCGAATATTTGGACACATATATGGAGTATTAAATATAGACTAATTATGAAACTAATTGCACAACTTGCGACTAATTTGCGAGACGAATCTTTTAAGCCTAATTAGTCCATGATTTGACAACGTGGTGCTACAGTAAACATGTGCTAATGATAGATTAATTAGGCTTAAAAAATTCGTCTCGAATATTAACCTCCATCTATGTAATTGGTTTTGTAATTAATTTATATTTAATGCTCCTTATTAGCCTCTAAATATTTGATGTGACATAAATTTTAGGAGCGCCTAGAGAACCAAACACCCCCTAAATAAGAGCCTGTTGCATTGATAGAGCCAGGCTTGTGTTGCCCTGGCTTAGGCCCCGTTTAGATCTAAAATTTTTTGGATTTTGGCTCACTGTAGCATTTCGTTTGTATTTGGTAATTAGTGTCTAATTATGGACTAATTACGTTCAAAAGTTTCGTCTCGCGATTTCTCACCTAACTGTGCAATTAGTTTTTTTTCATCTATATTTAGTACTCCGTATATATGCCGCAAGATTCGATATAACGGGTAGCGCGCAAAAATTTTTAGAATCTAAACAGGCCCTTAGTAGGCTAGACACACCCGTACTGAAGCAGCAGTGCATAAGCGCCGCTCCAGAGTCCAGAGTCCAGACGGATGTAGGAGTGCCACCGACACGAGTCATCTCCGGTCAATGCGCGCACACCAAGACCGTAGACTGGCTCCTCTCCTACATGTACAGGCAATATGCCAATTCGCCCAACTGGCATCCAGGAACGGCATCTCTCGCTCCTGCAGGCTGCAGTTCGGCCCGAATTCGGCGCCGGCAAGGTACTGTAGCAACAGTAGCTACTGTGGTATTTTGTTTGTATTTGGTAATAATTGTCCAAACGTTGACTAATTAGGCTCAAAACGTTCCTCTCGCAAAATACAATCAAACTGTGCAATTAATTTTTAATTTCATCAACATTTAGTACTCCACATGTACCCCTTGCACTCCTGTCGCCACCGGGCCTGTGAAGAACTCGAACAGTGTGGTAGTACTGTCGTCCAGGTTGCCAGGAGGAGCTGTGTCTGCACTCTGCAGTGGGTGGTACTGCCCCCTCATTAGCACGATCGTATCGTACGGCGGATCGGCCCTTTTGACCTCCGGAGCAGCCAGCCGAAGACGAGTGGTACAAGAGCCGACAGTCTGGCCCTGGCACTGGCACTGGTAGGTCGATGAGTGAAACGGCCGTACGCCCGGCGCCAGCCACCGCCACCGACGCTCACCGCAGCAGCGGCCGGTGGTCATGCTCCGCATGTGCCCATCGAGCCGAGCCGAGCCGTGCCTCGCCGCAGGAGTGGGGAGCGGCGAGCCAGAGGGATTCCTGTCCTGTCATAAATCATTGGAGACGGGCGGGCGCGAGGGAACAACTCCCACGACACGACTGGCGCGTGCGTGGCCAGGCTCTATATAGGCCTAGTTTAGTTCGGCCCAGAATCGATATTTGTACCGTGTTTGATGTGACGGTAAACATGGTAGTAATTTTGTTTGTATTTGTGAATTATTGTCCAAACATTGACTAATTAGGCTCAAAAGATTCGTCTCGTAAAGTTCAACCAAACTGTGCAATTAGTTTTTGATTTCATCTACATTTAGTACTTCATACATGTACCGCAAGTTTGATGTGACGGGGAATCTTCTTTTTGCATAGTGTCAAAGTTGGGAGTTTGGGAAACTAAACACCGCCATAGTTATCGTCTGCGGTGCTTCACCCGTCCTACTACTGCTACAACGTCGTCGTCGTCGGTTCGCCGTCCCGCCCGGCCATGCGTTCGGTTCGTGCGTGCGCCCGCGGTGGAGAGCGACGCACAGACCCCGGCGCGGGGGCGGCGTGATGAACGTGGCGTCATTCCAAAGAGCCGGATGACGCGGGGCGAGCGTGAGCGGAAGCCTATATTGAAATTAGGCGGCGTACGTGATGGATGGTATGTGGTACCCTTACGTCTGGTTTAGTTACTAAAAATTTTCACCCTAAATTATCACATCGAATCTTGCGGTACATGTATGGAGTATTAAATATAAACGAAAAAAAACTAATTGCACAGTTTGGTTGGAAATCGCGAGACGGATGTTTTAAGACTAATTAGTCCATGATTAGCCATAAGTGCTACAGTACTAACATGCGCTAATGATGGATTAATTATGCTTAATAAATTCGTCTCGCAGTTTTCAGGCAAGCTATGTAATTAGTTTTTTTATTAGCATCCGAAAACCCCTTCCGACATACCCGAAACATCCGATGCGACATCCAAAAATTTTTATTTCGTGAACTAAACACAATCTTATATTAAGGATGGCAATGGGTAAATCCCCATCCGGTATGGCCACCCCAGACCCATACCCGTCATAAAAATTTGAGACCGCCAGAATCCCCATACCCACTATGGGTGGGGAATTTTCTCCAGACCCATAGCCGGCTAGGTAAATCATACCCGACGGGTCACCCGTACCCGCCAATAGTTTATTTACGCACATGGAAATTAACAATTCAACAGCAACCATCACTAACAGAGCACATAAAATTAGACAAATAATAGCATATAATAATCTCTACGGCAACCACCAATCACATAACACCATCACACAAAGTCATTCTGTCATAAGTCATTACATTACATAGCCAAAAGGGGTACATAAATAAATATCCAAGTTCATTGCAGTGAACATATATAGGACAACAATTCAACAAACATGCTGGTTGTTTGTTGTCTTGTTGATGTGTTGGTTTCCTTCACTTGGAGTTGGAGACAACTTGCTTTGCTCAAAATTCAAGTTCCTGTATGGCATGGCAGGCAGTACAACAAGAATAAGAGTTAGTATGTGTCTAGACTCTAGAATAACAGAATAAGAGCACAATTGCAATAGTGGTTTAATTTGAATATGTGCACACCTGGAGGCCCTCTTGAATATCTTGGAGGCAAGACCAGAAGGTGGCAACTTCTTTTTCCTTGTTGTCAACTAAAAAGGAAAACCAGCAATTAGGATAAAATCAAAGTAAAGAGAACCAAACTACAAAACAAGAGAATGGACATACTTTTGTACTTGTTCCGCAACCAATCTTGTGAGCACATAAGAGCGTCTATCATTTTTGAAGTCAGCCTACTGCGATGCTCGCTAAGTACTCTCCCACTGGTGCTGAATGTAGACTCAGATGCCACTGTAGTGATATGAATTGCATAAATATCCTTTGTTATCCTTCTCAGGGTTGGATAACGTACTCCAACCACCTTCCACCAATCCAAAGACCTTGAAACCCTTAGTTTCCAGATATACCAGTTCATCTTCTAAGTAGTGATCTAGTTCTGATTTGAATCGCGCAGCAGATGGCCTTGTACTAGTAACTCTTGCACTAAGATAAGAACTCCATGTCTTCAGTTGGAGCTACAGCTGCTGCTGATTCGCTATTGTCACAGTCTTCTTCCACATGGTATTCAATCATCAATTCAGTTAACAGATCTATGATTTCAGCAACCTTATCCTCACAAATGTAACCAGTTGTACCAGTTAGCCACTCAAAACACATCAGCAAGCTCAATTTTTTGAGACGAGGATCTAGAAGGGTTGCAATACCCATCAGTTCTTGGATGTCCGACCAATATTTGTCAAATTTGGCTATCATGCTAACTGACATATCTTCAATCTTTGTATTGCCACAAGTTGACCACTGTGTGATTTTCTTCCTAATCTCACAAATTTTTATAAAGTATATATTGGCAGTAACATATTCAGTTCCAGAAAACAACAAAGTTATGTCATTGAACACTCGAAGCCTTTCTACAACATCAGCAGCAAAGTCCCATTCCTCCTCACTAGGCAAACATGTATATTGCTTATCAACACGACTTGCTCTAATGAAAACAACTTTATAGGGGACTGCAACACTAAGCATCTTAAAGGTTGGATTCCATCTAGTCTTACAGTCAAGGTTTATCTTATGATCCAAACTAACCTTAATAAACTTAGCTATCTCCTCAAACTTCTCTATCCTTTTTTGTGTTGCTGTCCAATAAGCCACACTTTCACGGATACTCTCAATAGCAATTTTAATATGTTCTAGACTATCCTTAACAATCAAATTGAGAATATGAGCACAACAACGCATGTGTACTAGTTTCCCTTCATTTATAAGCTTACTTTTTCCAATCTTCCTCACCAGATAAGAGATTGCCGCATCGTTAGTTGTGCAGTTGTCAAGGGTAATTGTGGATATCTTCTCATCAAGGTTCCAATCAACCAAAGACTCATATAGTTCTTCACCAATCACTTCAGATGTGTGAGGAGCTGGTACATAGATGAACCTATAAATGTAACAACATATGTAATCAGATTTCAGATTGTAGGACATGTGCAAAAATCAGTAAAACAGATTTTAGGACATGTACCTCATGATAATGTTTCTCAAAGTCCAAGATTCGTCGATGAAATGGGCTATGACTGCCATATAGCCCCTTTTCTGGTTGTCAGACGTCCACAAGTCAGTAGTTATGGCCACCCTTGAATCAATACTAGCCATATATTCAATTGCTTTTTTCCTCTCCATCTCATATTGCATCACAATATTCTTCCTGAAAATTTTCAAGGAATATTAAAAAATGAATACGAAAATTACAATGGCAGTTGGCAGCAAGACCAAATAGTAAGGAACAAACCTTATTGTATTCCTAGTATCCATCTTGAATAGTGGCTGAAGCGCACTTGCAAACCTCTAGAAACCAGCATGGTCTACCATGCTCAAAGGATACTCATGTAGAATTATCATTGGAGC